CCCCAAAACCCCAAAACCCCAAAACCCCGCAGTGATATATTTTAAAACTGAAAATAAAAATAAGAAAATTAGAATTAAAAATTCAAATGTCTTTAATTTCTTATTTAATTACCTATTTACTATTAATTATATGAAGCCGATGCGAAAATCATCATCTCTCATCATAGAAGACACTAGTTATTTTAGCAAAGTAAATTTATAATGAGAATCAGCTTTCGAAGCTCATCCTCTCTCATTTCAGCATCTCTGATATCCATAATCTCTATAGGATCAGATACCATGAACGGCTAGGTGCTAGTAATGACCTCTGTTTTCTTTGAATAAAAAGTAAATATCCACATACCAAAATTAGTTGAGATGCCCATCATCTCAAGTTTTTTCCTCTATAAACAGTAATTCCTCAATTGCTTGAAATTTTCACTTATTGCTGTCTTTAGAATACCTTTTCCCTTGATGGTATTAAAATTCTTGATTTCAATTATGTATAGCATTTGCTGGCTGTCATAGTACTGAACTGTCAAATCAGGTTATACTTTTTGACCAAATTACTCTATGCCCTTCTCACCGTCAATCCTTAATTCCTACTATTTTTTGTCTTTCTTGTTTGTTTTTGATACGCTATCACCTCCTATACTAGTGTGAACTTCTATTTTCTTATTGATTGGACATGGCTTATAAATCAAAGCATAGTTTAATACTTCAATCACAAATAATCTGATCTTCCATTCCATGTCAAAAGCTATCAAAGGTCCTCCAAACATGTTAATCAGAGAATTTATACGTTCTATTAGAGGTTTTACATCAATTTTCTTTAATGCCTTAGCTCTTTAGCTTTACTTTTCATACTACTCACTCCATTACAACGATGGGGAAGTTGGGATTATTTAGGGTAGTTACTAGCTCATAACATTATGAGCAGGTTCATCTCCAATATTCGAGTCAGTGAGATCAATAACTTATTAGGACATGCTTATTGGTGGTAATTGATTAACTATTACTTAAGACTAGACCTGTGAATGTATAATTGGTGTCCTAAAATCACTCATCATATCATCCAATTCTGAATGCAAAGAAAAGCCCCTCTTTGAACCTTTAGGGGTATTATGCCTTGTTGACTATTATGAGGCTGGCTAAGTGGTATATTAAGTTGGCTATGAGTAAAGATTTTGTAAAGTTTAAGTCGAGTTGAAGAGTCCATCTCCACCTATCATAGGCTAAGGGACATTCCTACTAATTGGAGTTTACACAGACTAGGACTCTATTCTGCAATATTACTCCATTATTGAGTCTATATTTTGCTATAATAAATTAACTTGATCGTGAAGTGAACTGCCAAAGTGCTTGTAATTCTCCAGATTATCAATCGCTATCTTAGTGAACATTCTATACTGTTCTTGGTTGAAATCAGAAGGGACGTATATGATCAGGGGATTATAATAAGTAGTCAGACAATATTCAAGCTCATCTTCATTGTCTAGTATCAGCCCGTTGTGAATAATTTCAAGATCTAAAGCTTGCAAGGTGAATTCAGGACGATTTTGATTTCTGAATGTTGCGTTGTAGATCTGAGATTTGAACTCACTAACTTTTCGACCAGTAAATCTGATCTTCTTTGGTGCAGGGATATGATTAGCTCTCGCTGTTTGTTCCTTGATAATATAGAAGAAATCCTCTAAGACGCTTCTTTCATAGTACATTTCAGTGTTATTTATTTGAATAAGAGTTTGAGTAAAAAATTAGATTTATTATTCTAAACCAATTTAATACAATTTTCAAAACTCTCTTTATACGCCTTATTTCTCTTTTTGGGGTTTTGGGGTTTTGGGGTTTTGGGG